GGCTGAGTTGCTGCCTTTGAACAAGGGTGGTCAGGTCCCAAGGTGTGGGACACAGCTATGTATGCATGCAGACACAGGTATGTAGGCAGAGCTGTGAAGCGTGTCATGAATAGTCAAAGGACAGTGTTATGGCTGGAGTTATGTGGACCAAGGTCAGCATATAACTGAGGCAGAAGGCTGCAAATAAAGCAACAGCGTTGTTCAGTTCTTCACGTGGCTAATGAAGCATCACTTGATAATGCTGATTGTCACTGCCAAACACAAATTTAAGCACAGCTCCTGTTCCCACCCTGCAGTGTTTATCATGCTGGTCCCCTTCAAAACGGACTCACTTCTGCAAAGCCTGCAGACGTGATTTAAAGATTAGCCAAGGGCCATGCTGAGGACAAAAGAAGCTATCACCTCAGATCACTCCCCACCCCTTCTGTGGACAACATGCAACAATTTTTGACTGAACTCTGTTTGAAAGCCAGAAAAGAAAAAGACTACAGCTACCTAACCCATGTGCAGCTACAGCAGTAGAGCTGCCTTGACATCATGCTGCTTGTTACTGAAAGTTTTACCAAATATGATATTTTAGTCTAATTGCCTCTATAAAGCAAGCACACAGGTGTGGCAAGGGGAAGAAAAATTATGTTGAGACCTGACAGGATGGCACGGTGGTCTGGAAGACAAATCCTCTAGAGGGGGAACAATTCAGGAAAGCTTAACTATAAATGAAGAAATGAAAAACTGTGGGCTAGCCAGAAAGTCTCCAAGAAAAATTAGAGGGCTATGTCATCACCAACTGTATGAAGTTTAACAAAGATAAGTGATGGATTCTGCATCTGGGATGGGGCAAAGTTGGATACATGCACAGAATGGGAAAAGTGAGTCTGGAGAGCAGTGCTGTGGAAAGAGACCTGGGAGTCCTGGTCACTGGCAAGTTGAACACGAGCCAGCAGTGCCCTGGCAGCCAGGAGGGCCAACCCTGTCCTGAGGGTATCAGGCACAGCATGGCCAGCTGGGCAAGGGAGGGCACTGTCCTGCTCTGCTCTGAGCTGGGGCAGCCTCAGCTCCAGTGCTGGGGGCAGTTCTGGGTGACACAAGGTAAGGAGGACATAAAGCTCTTACAGAGTGTCCAGACAAGGACAAGGAGGATGGCGAAGGGCCTTGAAGAGAAGACATGCGAGGAGCAGCTGAGATCACTTGGTCTGTTCAGCCCAGAGGAGACTGAGGGAGACCTCACTGCAGTTACAACTTCCTCATGAGGGGAAGAGGAGGGGCAGGCACTGATCTCTTCTCTGTGGTGATCAGTGACAGGACATGAGGGAATGTCCTGAAGTTGTGTCAGGGGAAGTTTAGGCTGTATATTAGGAAAAGGTTCTTCACCCAAAGGGTGGGTGGGCACTGGAACAGCTCCCCAGGGAAGAGGTCACAGCACCAGTCTGACAGAGCTCAAGAAGTGTTTCAACAACTCCACTAGGTATGTGGTGGCATTTTTGGGGTTGTCCTGTGCAGGGCCAGAAGTTGCACTTTGGTAATCCTTGTGAGTAACTTCCAACTCAGGATATTCTATTATTCAAGGAAAAGTCTTCCAAAGAATCTGAATGATTTTGGGACATTGGTCTAACTGCAGACTAAGACACAGGTAGAGCTGCAACCCCAAGCTACTATTATTAAGCAGTAAAAACCAAGGAATTATTGGCTTTGCGGTACCCAGGCAACCACCCAGCACCTGACTGCTGTCAGCTTCCCTACATGCAAGATCGTTGCCTTTTCACAAAATCCTCTTCTGGGGCTTCTCATTTTTTCCTGACTCTCAAGCAGAACTTGGTTGTCTGATCTGTGTGGTAGCTTTCAAATGTTTTGGAACAGAGGTGTAAGCGAAATGCCAAATATTTAGTAGATCTCTCTACGGAGATGACTGGACTTGACACCTCTTGCAGAGCTCTAGGAAAGGGGAGGAACAGCCCCAGTACAGATGGGCAGGCAGCTCCTCCAGGACTGGAAATAGGGAAAATCACAGAATGGCATTTCAGTTGCAAGAAAAAATGAAGTATTTTTTATTTTTTTAAATCTAATGTGGTTAGTTTCCTTCTTCTACCACACAAGAATGATACTTCAAAAGCACATGGAGCTAACGTGTGGACACCCATTAAACTGGCAGAAATAATTTTTACACTTTTGTAGGGCAAAGTAAAGCATGACTGCTGCTTGAAAGAAGAGCTGGTTGAAGATTGCACCCATCACCCATCCTGCAGTAAGTTTTAGGAGGATTTTTTTCCTTGCTAGACCAAATATAGGTTTTCAAGTCTTTTTACAGGAGAGAGATGCACATTGCCCAGGTCAAGTTTATTTTGATTTGCACATTTTTCTCTACAGTTGCAACAGAGGAAACATCATTTGATTATTAGGCCCAATGCATATCTTTCAGCTCTGACAAGGGAGTGGATGCAGGTGATCTGCTCCCTTCCACCCCCCTCCCCCCAAACAAAATTTAATCAGAAATAATCTGTGATTTTTAGTGCAGCCAGAAAAGATCAGATGAGGGAAAAGCATTCCCTTCACTGAAAACTTCGGTAACTTCTATTCAGCCAGTAAAAAAAAAGTGATTCCAGCTCTTAGATTTCCAGGAAATGACCAAATCTGGTAGGTAGTATTTCAAGGGTATTTTGGGGCTTGCCTATTTTTAAAACCCCTGTATAATATTTATTATGTACATGCTTCATAATTCCATAGTAAATAACCATAAATTCCCCATTTCACAAAATTAACAGCCCATGTGCTCACTTTCACACAGGAAAATTGATCAAGGTGCATGCTGAGGAGTTTAGAAAGGTCATTTTCAAGACTAGAGAGAGGCTGAAAATGTTGCTGCTAATCGAAGAAGGGATATTTAATATCTTTTTGACAAGAAATGCAAATAACATTAGTTCCACTACCATCCCTCTGGCCTGAGGAGTGCTGCTAAGACAGTTCTTGTACTTAATATAACTATTATCCACTGCAATGTCCTCTGTTGTCCTGGCTGGGTTGTGCAGTGTTTAGTGGTGCAAAGTTCCCACTAGTGCTGGGGATCACATCACTACTGCAGGTGTTGCCTTTTTTGCACTCGTGCTTCTTTCCTGGGAAGCCAGATGTAGTGACAGCAGGCACGAGTTCCACCTTCTCCTTGCCCTGTGTTTTTGAGCAAGCCTGTTCTGTAAAATCAAGAGACATCCCAGTCTCCTTCCTCTGAATGCTTAAAGACCTGGGAGCTCAGCGCTGCTGGTAGGATTTCAAAACCCAGCCCAGGCTCAAGTGCCAGATTTGGGCTAAACAGCTGCTATGTACTATCAGATCTACACATGACAATGATTTGTGCAGCCCATTGCTGAGCCAGTTAGAGCCATTTCTTTAAAAAATAAAGAGACAGATAAATTCAATTCTTCCCCTTCTCCTAGCAAGCTGATATTGTGTGCCTATCTTAAAAATGGCTTGCTCCAGAATGCATTAGAGCTAAATTATCATTTATGTTTGTCACAGGGATTGCTAATGTGTAATGAGATTTTAGAGTTAATGTTTTGTACAAAGCACTTAGCGGGGCCGGGATGAAATTGGTTCAGGATTCTGATGTGGTGTTTTAATTAAAGATATTTTCCAATCAGGACCAAGCAAACGACTTGTCAGAAGATTTTGTACCCATCAGCCAATATACCAGTGCAATGTTGGTCTCGCTTTCTGCTTTTGGATTTTCTTCAGGGAATTAGAGGAGAGAGCCTCTCCAAATCTCATGCAGAAGAGCCTTTCTTAGCTGCAACCCTTATAGGTGAAGAAATACATATTTGAACCTCTGAAATCTTTCACCTGGGTGTCAGTGGTCTGGTTCATTGTAGTGTGACACCAGCCTTAGGCTACCTTGATTTTGTTGANGAAACCAGTTTGATTCTTTGTTGAACCATTCAGAGGTTGCAGTTAACGGCACGGTAATTTGTGATTTGTTGGTTTTGGCACCTGATTCACCGTTGCATCATGTGACACTTCTAAGCACAGAATATTTCTGGATAGAATTGCTGTACATTGAAACACAAAACCTGGGGGTTTCCTTTGGCTAAAGTGCCTTATTTATGCCACACTATTTCAAGTAACTTTTTTTTTTTTGGTACTTCTGCTGTAGTCTGTCAGTATTGCCTAGCTCAGGGGAGTACAACTTCTGTAAGCCAAAGGTCAAACTGGATCTTTTCCTAATGACTTCAGAAAGTACAAAAATACACTTTTCACTAAATTACCAAGCAATATCCATTTCAAATTCCAGAGCTGCCTTTTTGTCATCTTTATCCCTGTAGATGACTGGAGCAACATGAATGCAGGGAATTGAGATGGTGAAAATGCTGTTTTGAGTGTACGTCTATGCAAATATTTTTACAGATACGTTTCCCCTTTCTTAGAACTACACTGTCTGAGGCTGCTTTACATTTCCCAGGTAGTTCTAGATTTGTAACCTTGAGTCAGCAGTAATTACCGCTAATGTCGAGGGAGATCCACAGTGTAGATAACTTTTCAGTTTTCTTCCTGAAAGCCCATTTTTTTCCTGTAGATAGTAAAAATCCAGATGAGGAATCGGAATCTGTTCAAATTCCTCCTTTAATTTATGACTTTCAAACTATTTATCTTGAAATACATGCAATATAAATAGAGTTCTCACAGTATTGCTAGTAATTAAAATTTTATGCATCTTTATTTTATGGAGAAAAATAGTCTAGCTTTGATGATGTTTGTTAGTTTTCTAATGGCATGTAGTTCTTTGTTTTACAAAAATTTTAGGTAGAGCTGAAATGCCAATTTATTTTGAATAGTTTCACTTGTGCAGAATTTTCTTTTTAATTTAACAGATCATTTTGCTATCCTAAAACTCAGCCACAGGCAGATGATAAGAATATTAGATATTTACAACAGATAATATCAGGACCTTTTGACTGGGTAATGGAACAAGTGTCTTTATAGAGCAAATAATTTATATTCTTAAAGAATTTTATCAGAGGTGCACGTGTAGTTTGGTGAAGTACTCTGTCCAGTATAGGTGAAACTATTCATATGGAACAAAACTTTAATGTTTTACATTAAAGAACACTTCTGTTACCAGAACTACTGCTTTTCTGTAATATTATTATTATTTTGTATTTTTATCAATAGATATTAAACTACTGTTATACTTTGTCCACAGTGCATTTTCATCTCATTCTTCAGTATATGCAGTAGTTGAAGTTGCTGTAAATTTCGTAGTACTTTAAAACCGAAGGACAGAAAAAAATAGGAAAACTCTAAAATCAAAATAATATATTTATTATTGTTGTCCACGAAAGGCATTTCTCAATTTATCTGAGTGCCTGTCTGAAAATTTAACTATTTTATGCTTTGCCCACTTAGAGGAAAGGATATGAACTGTTCTTAGAACCGAATTTGATGACTTCAGTATAGCTAAATCACTGAAGTTAGTTTCTTTTTCTTTCTTATTCTGAGGTTAAATTGTCTTAACATTTGAAAGATCATACATTCAAGACAATTAGATAATTGCTCTTCGAATCCAGTAAAGTGGGATTTATCTTAGGATAATTTTTGTTTTTTGGTAGATCAGAATATAAGCAAAAATACAATCTAGCCTTTCACAGCAAATGCTGAGCAATGCTATTCACATCTTAAGTGTTGCACCAAAGTACAATAAATTTGGTTTCTCCAAGAGTATTTTTGTGCACATTATAAAGTGCCTTCAAGAACATCTTTCAGATATTTTTAATGAGCATATGTTCAGTGTACTGACAATACTGATCTTCCATTTGAACATACCTCTTAAAAGTGTGTCAAAAATCTACATGTAGCAAAAGGTTTATTGCCAGATTATACTCCATGAGGGGGACCACTAAAAGGTTTTCTGCCCTGAAAATGTAGGGAAACATTGAAGTGTGTTTTAAGAAATTAACTTGGAGGTTATACTCATAACATGAGTATATGAAACAGTTCTTTGTGTCTGGATAAAAATACCAGTTATCAGAAATAGCACATTGAACAGAACGGAGTAACACATTCCTAGGGCTGGAAGTACATAATTGTTCCTGGAATTTCTGTTTTGTTTTAATACGTTTGATACACTTTTCTTAAACACTGTTAATAGAATACTGTCCCAATAACACATGACCCATAACATTAACACGTGGTAATCAATGTTGAATCAAACTGGTTAACGAAAGTACAGTGCTCTTCCTTCTCTGTGCCTGCGCACTAATTGCAGGTGGTGCATAGGGGCTGGGGCTTAGGCACAGCAGGCTGCAGTCCTGATTTCTTGGTGCCTGCAGTTCGGGTGTCCGTCTTTGACAACAGACTAACTGGGAGGAGTCTGCCTCCCAAGACAAAGTTTAACTGAGATCTGAAACTTAGAATTAATTGAAAATACAGCAACAATAAAGCGACATATATATACATATATGCTTTGACTTGTATTATGGCAGTTTGTGTGAAACATTTAAGGTTTTGTTTGTGCAAAATAATGTATTCTGAGGGGAAAAGCAAACATGGACGTTGCCAAAACACATGTAAATAAACACCATTTATGACTGTACATTATGTGCAATAAAGTAACTGGAAAAAGTGCATGTACTTTATCCTCGAAAGAAAACTGACAGCTCTCAAAGCTGTAGCTATAGTTTTATTTTCTGAAAAGTTAAATTTTATTCTGTATCTAAGCAGCAGAATAAAGAATGTACATTTTTCACACTTTAATCTTCATTAATGCTTCTAGCAGGGTTATGAAAGATGTTAATTGTTGGAGAGGCTTAAACTTTCATGGTCGTCTGATTATCAGGGTGTATTTTGCTTAACATTTTCTTACTGCATATGCTGTTGTTTGTAAATGAAGGAAGTACGCATTATGTATCGTAAACATATAGTACACTTTTTGCATATGGGTTTGTGGATGCACAAACTATAAATTCCACAGAGATAACCACATGATTTTGGTGATAATGTACTTTTGTAGGCATAACTGTTACAATTGTTCAGAGCAAATAAGAAAGAAGTACTACTTCACTGTAACTTTAACACATGGGTTAGGGGTTTCTGGTTATAGTTTCTGGTTACTGTAGAAAATGAAGATATCTGCCACCCCACCTAGTGTGAACCTAGCAAGAAACACACTTTTGGAGAAGCACTAGGTAATGGTGTTCTACATTTTCCTTAATATTTATGTCATGATGCCTAGTTTTAGTTAAAAGGACAATTTCTTTGCCAAGGTGTTCTTTGCTAAAAATTCCTTCTACTTCACATTGCTTAAATAAAAAACTGTTTGATTCAGAAGCAAGTGCAGTAGATAAGGTTAAGTGTGATATTTTTAGAAGTCTGGTAGAGTAGGGGAGAGGAGGCTAAACACCAGTGTTCACATACACTTCTGCACACCCGGCAAGGATGAAAAGTTTGGCATAGTCAGTCTTTGAAGACACCTTTCCTGATGAGTCTCACCAAAGTAGTGGCATACAGTTGTATGTGAGCTAGCTGCAGTTTCAGAAGTTTACAGAATGTAGGAATGCTGTTTGGCATGTGCCACGTGAGCAGGTAAAGCAGCCCTTGTCATACTTGCTGTTGAGTGCCAGCTGCCTGTACCCTGCAGTCCTGGCCTGGAGTGTGGGCACAGCCTTGCTTCTGTGCTGTCTCTGGCTGCACTGTGCAATCCCCCTCCTTCATCCATCTGGATCCCCAGAGAGCAGAATTGTATTTATTCCTTACCTCTTGAACCAAGTCAGTAATACCTGTTTGTGGTCATGTTCATGTTAGGAATTGTGTTTATAGGTCTACATGTTAAAGCTAGATGTGGAGTTTAAAGACTACAAATATTTTATCAGTGGACTTTTACCACCATTCTACCAACACTGTCTGTGTGTTTTGGTATGTTTACAGGGGATGACCTGGCATCTCTAGATGGCTTTTTGTTGTGTTACTACAGTTACTGTAGTTCCCTTGAGGCAACACAAACTTGACCATTATCAGTGTCAAAATAATGAGAGACATTCATAGCAAAGAGTACAAAGTGCAGTGTCAGAAATTACTTTCATGTTGGCATTCAGGTCTACCAGCAAAAATAAAAAGAGACTTTATCCTACTGCTTTCTTGGTGACCCTGTGAAGTTCTCAAACAGTTAAAAGTAGACAACTGACAGGCAGTTCCTGTTGAGTTGAACTCAAAAAATTAGCAATCACAAATAATCAGTAACTCCCTAAAAGGTTTGGGGGTTTTTGTTTATTTTTTTCACAAAGTAGCATAGCATGTACTTGTCCTTTTTCATTCTGTCACAGTATTTTCAAAGTGTTTTTATCTTCAGCAATAAGATTACTACTTTGAAGAGCAAACTTGATAAACTGAGAGGTGAGGTTCAAGGAAAAAAACCATCAAATAGTGGCACACCTCAAAACTGCATCATTTCAGCAACTTATCAGAAAATGAAGGTATTTTCTCTAAAGTTCATGTGTTTGTAAGCACCTTATATGGACAACATACTACGCAGAGTAATTATTTTTGTTTGTGGGACTTTTTTAGAATGAATTCTGTAGATTTTCAGTTCACAGAGAGTGACCTTGCCATAGGTCAGTCATTGAGCAAACAAGTGTTCAGTGTTGATTCTGGCTTGCTTTCATACTCTTGTGAAAATGAAGCCCCATCTTTTGTATCCAAGTCTTTTTACTACCATGACAGTCTGTACCTCCCAAAGCAGTGTTTTAAAGGGGGGTTGGTTTTTTTTTTTTACAACGAAGTTATTTCAGTAAAAAGGCAGGTTAGAGTGAGCAAGACTGTTATCAGAAATGTGTTAATATACGATAAAGATACTGGGATCACTGTTCTAGTGTCTGTATCGTGTGTATTAGAAACCCACAGTGAAATGTTAGTGTAATATTTATCTCGTTAGTTATCTACACCTTTCCAGTTATGGTTTCCAGAGAAGGTGGAATGACAAGGTAACTGCAGATCACTCCTGTGTATGTGCTTTTTCATAGAGCACAGCCTTTTTAAGGTGTTGACCTCAGATACTGGGTAAAACATTGTAAATTTGTGATGCAATTTATTTGTGTGCACAGTTTATTTGTTAGCCTATCTGCTAACCACTGAAAGTTCAAACATCACTACCAATTCAGAAATGTTACTGCATGTTAATTGCTGTGGCAAATTCCATGTCTTGTTTTTAACATGGGTGCAATCTGGAGGCCTTCACATGCATACTACTCTAGTTAATTTGGATCATTTTCATGATCTTTCATGAAGAGTGGATCCAGTACTGCTGAGGGGGCCACAAGGCCATTACTTGCATGCCCTTGTGTGACTTTCCCATATAACCTTAGTGATGAGACCGTTTTGATTCTTTCCCTGAAAGGCAATGAATGAAGCAGATCTTCAGCTTTGTTTCTGAGAGAAAATAGGACATGTATACCAATGTGGACTGAAAGAAGAAAAAGAATAACAGTAATATCAGAGCTTTGAACCCTGTCTTGAACAGATGACTGAAAATTACTCTGGACTTTATAGAAGCCAAGAAGAGGAGACGACCCTAAACAAGGGCAGCAGTGTCAAGCCTGTATCATGTTGACAAGAAGTTCATCAGAGACTGCAGGCTGGAATTTTAAGTGAAGAAAATTGAAATTATCTCGGTCCTTGAAGAACTGGTTTACCATATCTCCTGTTATCTTAAGCAAGCTTGTTAATTCTTCTGTTGGAAATTTTTCCCTTCTTCAGCCTAATTTGAATTTCTTGTTCTTTTATTCTAAGGTTCTGCCCTGCCCCCTTCTGTGCTGTCTTGCATTTCATAGACAAATTCTCCCTTCATTAGGATGGTGAGGTGGCACAGGTTTTTCTTGGTACAGAAAGACAACAAGCAAGACTTCAGGTCTAGATCAGGATGTTCAGGTGTGACATTATGTAGAAAGCCTGTTTTACATACATGTGACTCCAAGCAGATGGAAGAGAACTATTTTGATACAGAGGGCACAAATCTAATGTTTGGAACACCTGGGTTTCAGATGCTTCTTTCATTGCTGATTTGTGCAGTTTTGGGCAAGACCCCTGCAGCCAAATCCACAAAATACCACCATCACCTTAAGTGATATGTCAAGATACAGAGTGTGGTTAGCAATTTTTTCATCAAAATAATCTTTTTCATGGTCTTCCAGAAAAGAAAACACCATTGCCTTATCTTCTTTTGTCAGTTTCTAGCAACAACATCATCCAAAAAGATAACTCCTTGTACCCAAAGACAATATACCTGCCTGAGTGCAGAAGGGAAAGCACTGTTTGATAAATCCCCATCTTTCCACCACACCCACAGGAACCAGCTGGGCAGCTTGGCTCCATCTCTCTCAGGCACGTTTCTCCCCATTTTGACATGCATAGCACATATGGCTGTAACTTTGCCTTTTGCATTCCCCAGCTATCCATGAAGAAAGCTACTCTTTTACTCCAGTAGCTTTGGTGCTCTTGTTCTGAATCTTTGTCTCTCAGTTTCCTGTTGGTGAAATGAGGTCAACAGGAGAACCCCAGTAGAGTTTAAGTGGTGGATGGCCACATCTGAGATCATGGAGTGCTCAAGCTGTATAATGCTGAGTGCACTCCAGTATCATCACAATGTCTAAGTGTCTCACAATCTTGAATGTGCTTAAGAATAAAGCATGAAAGCAAAACAAAATACCTTTGACTTCTTACTTAGTCAAGCCCATGATACAGTTTCCAGAATCTCATAGGCCAGCTGAGTCCTAGTCTCAAACCAGATCACTGAGTGTGTACCTACCAATAGAGCTGTCTCAAGGGATAGCCATCCCAAGAAATGATGGGTACAAGTTACTCCTGGGAAGATTCTGGTTGGGCACAAGAGGAAATTTTTTTACAAGGAGGACAGCAGCCATTGGAATAATCTCTCCAGAGTAATGGTGGATTCTCTCTCCAGTTTAGGACACCTTTAAGGTTCAGCTGGACAGTATACTACGCCATGTCTAGACCTTGCTCTTACCAAAAAAGGTTGGACTAGATGGTCCTTGCAATCCCTTTCAACCTGGTATTCTCTCATTGTGTTCATAGCAGTCTGAGTCCTGCAGACTCACTGGGGATAGACGGAGCTGCATTCCTGTTTTTCATGGTTGGCAAGTCCAAGGAGAAGCAAAGGGACAGAGATGCAGGAAGCAACACTGCTTTGTCTCTTCTCCAGTGAAGTATAAGAACTGAGGAGCACTGAGAGCACTTGAGACCTGGGAGGACCAAGAAAAAAAGGGGATTATATTGAAAACCTGGTTGGCAGAAGTGAGATTTGCTCTGCAATTATGTGAGGTTCTCATTGTTCATAACTCTCAGCATAACATACAACTTTTGGAACTGACATGCCTTAGAATAATTAACCTTGAAGGAAGAACAACAGTTTTTACAACTTCAGGCCTGTAGCTGTGAATGGTTACATTTGGGATGCAAGTTTTTCAGTGAGCTTTCAATTTGCTGGGGAAGGAGAGAGATGAATGCCACTTGTGAGAGATAACTTTGGGTTTCTCAACTAAGAACCAGGGTTATCAGGTAGATATAAAATAAAATCACCTCATCAGCCACATCACTAACCTCAGCAAAATCCAACAATAACCATTTTATACCTGGTCACACTCAACCACAAGACATCTGGCAACCAAACACTTTTGGCCAACAGTAGTATAGTGGAAGGTGGAGAAGTGGGAATTTACCTCCTCAGTCAAGACTCTTCCAAGGCTTTATCTTGGTGAAGTAAACAACTGCATTTTACTAGTTGTCATGTACATCACAATGAGGTACACAATTTATAATAATAAATTATATTTATGAAGTAGGATCTTATTAAATTATATTTAGGAAGCAGGACCTGCTCTGGATTTGTCTTCAGACTTCCCTGTGTGAAGGAACCTTGAAATAAATAATTTCCACTCTGGCAAGCACCTGGTTTAAAACAAAGGTGAAGCCAATGAATTAAATAGTCAAAACACCTGATTCCTTTTAGGAGGGAGGGAAGCAGTAAATAATGTTGCCTTAGAGAAATTTCTCCCTTGTCATGCCTTTCCCCTTGCAGTTTGCTGTCACTAATCACTGTGAGCCAGACTGTGCATGTGGAAGAATCCTTCAGACGGAGTCAGTGGGGCTACTCATGTGAGTAATTTGGAAAGCACTCAATCAGGGCAATCAAGCCCTGTGGTATTAGACTCATTTTGGCTATAAATTCCCCAAGCAAGGACTTTTATGTCAGTAAAACAGTGGCTGCAATTCTGGTGCAGTGCTTTTTTTATTTAGTTCTTTTTTCCTCCCCACAACTTCTCATTTCCTCTCACCTTTTTCTTCACATACACACGCACACACAGAGTGAGACTCAGAGAAGCAGCAGCTTTGACAAGCAGTGCTAACATGCCTCCCTGCTCTGAGCAATTCCTTTGGGCGATTTAGCAATGTCATTCTGGCTCTCAGCATTTCTTTCAAGTCAGGAGCCTCACTGCTTATAGCAGCTTGGGAAAGGGAGAGCCCAGGTGCAAAGGCAGGAAAAAAGTTCCATCGGTGGCTGGCAGCAACAGGAGAGTCTGGTTGTGCTGGTGAGTCAGCTCCACTCGCTCCACTTGCTTATTCCAGCCACATACAGGCAAGTGCAGGCAGGGAAAATTCCTAGCTTTGATTGTGAGGAAAGGGCTTGCTTATGCCACCACAATAAACTCTGTTTTCCCAGAATGAAATCTCACAAGGCGTAATTGCCAAAATCCTAGGACGAAATACTTGTGCTTAACCCCTGACACATCTTGTTCTTTTCACTGGGAGAAAAGTAGTCATTTATGGTTTGGTGTTTTGGTTTTTTTGAGTTTTGTTTTGTTTTTTAAATTCAGTTACCAGCCTTGATGTGCCTAAAATGGGAATAATGACAGAGAATACAATATCTCCTGTCTGCACTGCTAGCTGTACACTTGCATATAAATAGCACTTTTGTTTCATGGGTTGGAGTAGAGGCTGAAGAGACATACTGACAGTGCAGCAGCTCTTTTCCTTTGTAGCGAATCTAATAGGCCTGCAGTATGAAAAATGCTACTTATGCTTTGCTTTTAGGCTGAAACTCACTCTGTGCAGAGGTCTAGTGGAGGGCAGAGGCCCCGCTTTATATCCTGCTGAGCCTTCAGAGAGGCTTTCCATGTTACCCTACGGGAACAGACAGTTTTGCATTCTGTTCGTGGGTAAAGGCATGTAAATAATACCTTTATGACTCAGGTATGTCTTGAAATATGCAACCTGATGGCAGACAGTTCTACTTTATTGTGTAGATATTTGTTCTGAACCACATAGCTTGTAAGTCATGAAATATTAATGGCCATGCAAATCTTCTCTTCTGTATCACAAGCTTTTCTGTGTTCCTGACCCTTGACTTCCTTTAATCATCTCCTGGGTGTGTGGTCTGTTACTATTCTGAGATATCTTGTGAACAGGGGCAAAGTAATTACTTGATCCTTGCCTGCTGCAAGAATCTTTTTGAAAAGAAAATTGATAACTTCAGACACGCTTCCTCCTTGCATTAAGATCAGCCCCACCTGCTTGCTTCACAAGATTTCTCTTTTGGTGGCCTGAATGCAGACCTGCAGTGTTCAGTGCTATTGTCATGAGTGTAAAAACAGCATTCTTGGATCTTCTAAATTGTCATCTGCTCCTCCACAGATTAATTATAATTTTTGGTCAGATGTTTTCTCCCCTTCACTCTCACTCTCTTCCCCCTTACTGATTTGTCCGAAGGCATCCTTATAAATATGCTGTTTTATTGTGACTTGTTACAGGAAAGCCAAATGATCTTTCAGTGATCAGCTGTAGTGCCTGTTAGCTACAGGGTTATCTTAGCCATCTCCCTAATAATTGGAGGCTGAATTAATGCCTGAAAGACAATATTTTTTATATTTATTTTTTTTTTAAGAACAAAGGCATGTATTCTTGGTAGAAGTCTCTTTCTCCACCTGTTTTCTAACATCCCAAACGCTAAGAATAAGGATGTTACCAATGTGGAGAAATATGGAAATGCTCCTTAGCTCCCTACCAAACGTAGGAGAGGTCGGTGGGTTTGTGCCATGCAGGTCTGACAACCAAAGGAGGAGGAGATGTGCAAGCAATACAGCTGGGGAAAGAGAAAACTAACCATGAAAATGCATTTCCCATATGGGAGCTATTTCAGTAAACCAGTGTGATGAAAGTACAGACATGAGTAGGTATTTGTACAAGTGAGCTCGTAGTGACTGCCAAGAGCATGGTGGAACACAAGGGCAATAATGACCACACAGTTTAATACAAAGTTAATAAATGTTGACCTACAAGTTTCTGATTTCTGGAGCAATTTTGCCCAAGTTGCAGGAGTCAGCAATGAAGCACCAAAAACGCTGCCTCTGAAATGGTGGGTTTATACAGATTAGGAGGTGGGGAAGACTAGCTAAGGTCAAAACATTCATTATCAGAGCAGAGATAAAGGAACTGGGATACCCAGGTGTTTGTAACATGCCACTTTGCAAGACCTGGAGTGACAAATAAGAGCCTTCCTGGGGCTCTGCTGTTCAGTCCTCAGTGTGTGCTATTTCTGAGGGTCAGGTGCCAGCCTGGGAGGAATCCACAAAACAAAGCAACCCACCTCACCTTTGATTTCATTCAGCAGCAGGTGTCTATGTGTCTTTGAGGACATAGATGTCTTTCTTTCACACTTAGAACTTTCTTTCCCTTGAAATGACTGTGGTGACTTCTGGGGCAGACCCACGGCTTGGCTCACACAAATGGCTGTTGTGAAGCAAAGTTATGCAGTGGCTTAAAGCCTGGCAGCCTCCAGCCTGGGGACCACCCACACAGTGATTGTTCCCTGTGCAGGGAGCTGCAGTTCTCCCACAGGGTGGTGGAAAGCTGATGTGCCACCAGCTGGTGGGTGCTGTGGGAGTCATAGAGAAAGCAGATGGAGCAGAGAAGCCAGAGCATCCCTCCTGGCCCATCTGCAGCACTGTGGTGTCCCACCACAGGATGATTTATAAGCCTAAATGATGGTAATGAGCCCTGCTGCAGGTCTGGTTACCCTGTAGTCTGCAAAGGTGACAATTGCTAAGTCAGGTTTTGGAAGGAGGTGAGCTCTGATCAGCTGAAAGGAGCAGTGAGTAATCCTCGTCTACCTGGCTTTCTATCCAAGCTGTGAGTCATTCTAATGAGCAATACTGAAAGTGCTGACCTGCCCATCTCATGCTTCCTAACTGAGACTCCAAGCTAACCTGCAGCCTTGGTGTGCCTCAGGGCTGCCTTTTGGGCAGAGGAGAACCTGGGACGCTGGTTTTACTGCAGACCTTACCAGTGGAATAAATGCTGTTGTGGATGTGTGTGTGCCCAAACAATTGGCGCAAGTAATTAGGAAGCTTTCCGTGGGTTTTCCGTATTTGGCATTCCCTGCCAAAACTGCAGAATTGTTTTTGATTTAAGAAACATTTTCTTACCCCTCGCCATGAAGATTTCTGTTGCACATCACTCTCTCTTGAGAGTGAGATGGTCTTGTAGCCTGGGCAGCTACAGCTGGGCCGGTGTGCAGCGACTGGGCAGAGCAGCACATGGGATTATTGCTGGCTTAGCCCAGCCCATGTCTCTGTGTTCCTGGGGACAGCACAAGCAGCCTCTCCTCTCCTCTCCTCCCTGCTCTACACTGTGCCCACACTGCAGGGTGGGATGGTGCCCATCCTCTCTCTTCAAAAGGCTGCTCCTTTGAGTGCAAAGTCCTCAATGTCCTCGCTTGGCTTTGAGCTCCATGTGTGGTTGGGGATGACAAGACGTGTTTGCCTCTGGTTTGAATGCAGGGCATGGTCTAGCTTGGCTGCATGTAGAAAACTGCACTGCTGGATGTTTCCAGCAGCTTCCCCTGAGTACATGGCACTATTTAAAGTGAAAGCATTTTGATTTGGAAGAGGCAAGGATGAAGGTGAAGGCTAATAATGGAAGTTTATAAATGCAGCTGACATCCTAGCACCTTGTGTCTTTCATGCTGTCCTTCATTTACTTTCCTCTTTTGGTGCTCTGTTTTTCCCCCTGTGAGCAAAGTGTTGCTGAGAGTAACTGGGGTAGCTGAGTTTGATCCCTTTATGTGCCTATGGATATAGAGATTCAGTGTTATTTAACACTGAAATGTGTGAAATGATCCATGAGACCTCCAGGGTGAACTATGCTAAGGGACAGACTTTCATAATCTGTGGATTATGCTCCATAATACATATATATTTTATAGAGTGTATATATGTATATATAGTTCATGACTAATATGGAAACCCCTCTTAGTTAATGGCTTCTAGGAGAGACACAGCCACATAACATTCCTGTGTGGGTGGGTGGCTGTTGGCACCAGCAGTGGGATGCCTGACTCTAGTTGTGATCTGGGCTTCTCAGCTAGGCTCCTGCTCCTCGTCAGCTGCAGGACGTGGGCAGCAATAAGGGCAGTTCAGCCTAGATTGTAAGAGAAGTCTGATACAAACAAGAACTTTTCTCCTCCTCTGTTATCTGCCTGGGCTCTCCATGTAGGTGGCTTGGTTGGATGTGAGCCCTTCAGACAGCAGAACCTGTGTTGAGGTGAATGTGACTCACGCTGAATGTCTCTTAAAGCCCACGACAGGTGAAGGTAGATGGTGAGATCCTGAGTCCTTTTCCACAGCCTTGAAATGGGATTGTCCCTCCTTTTTGTCTCTGAAGCTTTTCTATCCCTCGTCCCTCTGCTTTGCCAAGTTCATCTGGGAGGTGTACAACAATGTGCACACACAGCCAGCTGGTTTATGCTGAAACCTCATGTATTTCACAGATAGGCTGAGCT